GTAAAAATCTTGAAGGGTAATTTTCTGACCGATTTTTCCCTATTTTTAACAGGTGGGAAAGTAAAAAACAGGTTATTTGACTCACTTAGTTTCAGTAAGGCCTGGGATTTAATCAGTTCAATATCCTTTTAATTATCAGAGATGTCAATTTATAAAAAAAAAACTTAATTTATTAAAAAAAATAAAAATGATAACTTGTCAGATAATCTAATCTACATTGGAGTTAAATTTATCCACCTCATTCATAAATTCCAGATTTTTCAAATGAAACTGTCAAATTGTGGCCAAATCTTATATTAATCACTATTCTGTACACTTAGTTTGCATCAACATTCTTTTTAATAATTAATTTAGCATAAAGTACAAATGATTTTGATAAATGTGTAAAATCAACATCAAAATCAACTTACAACATTATTTAGAGATAAAGAGAATTACATTATCTCTACATAAAGCATCATGCACAACTGTTTTAAATTAACAATATAAAATTACAAAAATTTGGAAACTACATAGTTTATTTGATATTAATGAAAATTTATTAGAAACCTGAATACTTAAAGGTTACAATAAATTATTTGCAAAGCAATGTTTTTCTTATCAAAAGGTTAGGAATGTTTAACTAGTAACATCTGTAGAATAATTCACAGATTTGTGATTTTATCAATACATTTTTATTTTATATACAATAATATATTTATACAAATTAAAAATAACCAGACAAAAACATTTAGTAGTTTGGTAAGTTAAAAAAAAATTACATCTTTACAAAAATTTACTGGTAGAAAAGAAAGAAAAAAAACCAAATATTTTTTTGCTGCTCTTCAAAATTAACCTTTTACTTAATATTTGTTAAGGATTATAGTTCTATTTACTTCATATTTACTCTAACATTAAAATATTTTGTATTGTTATAGTAATAAGGCATAACAAAGCCAGCTGGCTCCTCAATAAATATTTTGTATGCATTGTAAATACATTATATCTGATTATTATAAAAACGTTCATTAATCAACTAATTTTTGTAAAATTCCTTAACAAAGTTTCTAATCTACAGTTTGTATCATTTCATATAAACTAAAACTATTCACAATTTTAGTTCATTTAATAATTTTAACAAATTAGTATATTAACAGGTTTACTAATATAGTAACACCTTTATAAAAATTTATCACAATAGTCAATTTCATAAAATTAAAATTTGTTTTAAATATGCAAATAAATATCAAAACTTCTTATATATAATCACTGTAGATATAATTACATTGTTTTTAATTAACAATAACATGTCTAAAACATTTTAAGTAAGAATAAACATAATAAATTTTGTAGTTTAAAACAGTTGTTTTTTGTACTTCAGAAATTAACTTGTCTGATAATACCACACAAGATCATCTTATTGAATATTGTGCTTTATTTGTACTAAATATCTATTTTATACCTAAACTTATTTCTGAAACAAAGGACTATAGAAATTTATTCCTTCTTAACTAAGAAAATTATGATGAACAATATCAGTCAAGAGTAATAAATTTTTTTCAAGGAGTCAATCGTTTATTCAAAATGTAATATGAGGAACTTACATACTAAATTTAGTGTGCAGGTTTCTGGAGATGAGACACACAGTCTTATTCAAAATGTTTTCAGGTTAACTTACAAGAGAAAGATTCTATTTTACTCTTGATTGGTAAGTCCTAGTTACAGTAAGGAGTTATTGTTCCCTTGTTAGAATACTATGAACAACTGTTTTTAATAACGTATTTGTTTTACAGATGTATTCCTAAACATATTTTATAATGCAGGATGTTCATATAGACTTTACAGCTTAATTATTCAATAATTTCATTTAAATATAAACAATTTAAAATAAAATAAAATTTATTCAAAATTTAAATAAAATCACTAATGATTTGTTTGTTCTTTTATTTTCTACGTAAGCCTTTTATTACATTTATTCTGAATGGCTCCATTTTAAGAAATCATCAACTGTATGCTCTCTAATAGTCAAGCAAATGTTTGTATCAACAATAAATAATTGTTTCATCTTGTTAAAAAAATAAAAAAACTTGTTTCATAACCAGATGAAAAATGAATATACAGTACTTCCAATATAGATAAACCAAAACCTGGATACACAGTCAAAAGTATAATAGTTAAATAGGAAATTTATTTTGTTGTACAGTACATCTTACATAGAAGTGAAGTAATTAAATATTCAAATTGCACAAGAATCTTATAATATATAAATTTATAAAGTGAAAAATTCTATTAAATTCAACATTTAGAAAAAAATAATTAATTCATTGCAAAAAGCAGTAAAAATAAAAATTTTCATCCTAATGTCTTCATTAAAGGAAATCAAATCTAAGTATTGTAATAAAACTGGAGATTTACTTTATTTTTAATAAATTGGAAACTAATTTCAAAACATTTTTGAAAATAAAATACACAAAATATTTGTAAACTATTTTTAAATTTGCCTTGATATTATTGTAGTTTATGTACTGTATGTAAAAATGTTTGTTTGTAAAAATATTTGTAAAAATAAAAATTTGTAAATTTCACAAAATTTCAAATAATGAACACAACTCCAATTTCTTAAAATAATAACAAAAATCTGCTTTATTGTCAACACCCATATTGAGTAGCACTCTCAAATAAAGAAGAATTTTGTTATAAAAATAATCTTATACATTAAATACAACTACAACAAGTATTTTACTTGTTGTAGTTGATAAATTAAAAATTAAAAAAATTTCTAATTAAGTGAAGTAATATTGATTATACTGCAATCATAATCATTTTAGTAAGATAGTAATTGTTCCCAAATTTAATGACAGTGATATTAACTTGGATATGACTTACAAAAGCAACATTAAAATTAAACTTTGGTGATTATCTGGTTAAATTATTTCATTAGATTATTATTGTTGTATTTGAGAAAAATAAATTGAATCTCTTAATTCTCTCATGTAAAATAACATTAGTTAAACTTGAAATAGAAAAAGAAAGATTGATATTTTATGTTGAAAAATTAGATATATTAAAGCAGCGGTCCCCAACCTTTTTATCGCCGCAGACCGGTCGATGCTTGATATTTTACCCACTCACGTGACCCACTGAGGGGGGACGTTGATTGTTTATATTTTAGATTGATTTAATTTAATAATTTTAATTTAATTGTATTTAAACATGTCTTCAAAATAAAATATGGTTACACCAAAAACTGAATATAATGTGATTTAACATTTTAACTTACTAAAACATTAAATCAATGAGAACCCTGAGCTTGTTTCTTTGCAACAAGACGGTTCCATCTGGGGGTAATAGGAGACAATGACACCTGAAGTGTGTTTCTTATGTCTAGTTTATTCTGTTGTTCTGACGTCCATTAAAAGTCGCACAAACTGGAGAGAAATACACCATAGAAAATAAAATGGAAATACCAGTAATTTAATGTTCCTTGGGCGGCCCAGTACCATTTGATCCATGAACCGGTACCGGTCCGCGGCCTGGGGTTGGGGACCACTATATTAAAGAATTCAATATTTATACATCTGACAGTTTAACAAATAAGTAATTGTATAGAGACAAAATAAATGCTGAATTTTTTCACATCACAGCCAACAAAATTATCAAATAATTGATAGTGATATGATACAACTTTACATGCACACTATTTTTGTTTTAATTATTTAATTCTTGACAAGTAAAGACAAGTTTTTAAATTAATTTTTTTATAAAAGTGGAGAAAAACAAACAAATACTACTACTTATCATTTACAAAAATCTTAATAAATTCTTATTTTATATTAAAAAACGCATTCATCATTTTTGAAGTGATTAAGACTTAAGTGAAACAACATAAAACTACATGGATGATTGAAAAGGTAAAGACTTGCACTGTCTTTAGGAGATGAAATTTGGGGAACGGTATATTGGATTATTTCCCTATTTTATCATACATCACCAATGTAAAAAATTTTTTGGATTACAATATGTCATTAAGTTTCTAGCAACAGATATAATTAATTTTCATTCATATACTTATTGCTGAAAATTACTTTGTAAAATGTCACGATAATAATTGTCTAATAATAAATATATTATTGTAATAACCATGACAATTATTTTTTAAACAGATAAGCATTTTCATCTCTCATCACTGAATTAATTTGTGATATATGGAGTTCAATTTGGTAACTGGAGAAGGGCACTTTTTGACAACATATGGTATCTTCAAAATTCATATGTAATTAATCTAGATTTCCATTGAGATTTTAAGCATACAATCACAAAGAATACTGCACACAAAAAGAATTTAATCCATTCAAATTATTTCTCTAATGAGAATATTTTAAAAACAACAAGTGGAAAAAAACTAATACATCAAAGTTTAATATGCTTTTCAATTACTTAAAGTATAAAAGTATGTCATTACATACTATGCAAAATTTAGATAAATTTTATTAAATATTAAAAAATCAAAAATAAAACACTTTGGAATGAGATCAAACTATGCAAATATAAATAAATAAAATTATTCTAAATAATCTTCTATCTGTTCTTAAAGGAAATTCTACACACTACTTCCAAAAAATTATTTATGAAAATACTTTATCAATGTTAAACTTTATAAAAATGAATTTAGAAAAACTCTGAGATCATTATTTCAAACAGATTTTAAAATAAAATTATTACAAAAGTTTGCTTCTAGTCTTTGGTATAATTATATTAATTAAATTAACAACCATGAGGCAGATAATAGTGAGGGCTTATCAGACAATGATGGGCACAAACACTCAGGAATCAAAGTGAAAACGTTTAATAAACACAAAAATGACTAATTTATTAAACATCTTCACTTTGATTCCTGAGGGTTTGCCCATCATTGGTCTGATAAGTCCTCACTATTATCTGCCTGGGTTGTTGATAACTTAATTAATGTAAATTTTAGAATGTATATACAAGACACAAAGGTGATTCCAAAGTACAACAAATACATCCTGTACATTTATTAAGTTTTACAAACAGACTGAAACTTAATACTGCTTCTTAGATTTCACATTATTATTAAAAACATCACCTGAGTTTAATAAGTTGTCAGATATTTAGATTCATATTATATACTTCAGGATGTCCATTACAGTAAGGAATATATAAATATTTAATAGCATAAAATAACACTTTCAATAATATATAAATATATAGTTATATATATATATATTAAACATTGTTAAAACTTCAATGCACATGAAGAGGATTCAACGATAGAAAAACCTGCCTTTAAGTAAATTTCACTCACATCTGATAAAATACTCTCATATTGTAATGATCATCTCCCATTGCCTTTAGTACTTCGCTTAATTTTTCTGTCGTCGTGTTTTCAGATCCAATGTCAAAATTAATGTTTTCACTATACCGAGCCATAACAAATAATACTATTACACCAATTATAATGCCAATATTTTGTAATAGAAAAACTTTCAGTGTCTTTTTTATTCCTTCGTTTTGTGCTGCATCTAGAGCATCATTGAGTTCATTCATCTGAAATTAAAAATATTACATTTAGTATTTTAAAAATTATAAGTTATTATACTAATTTAATACTTACCATTCCTACTAAAGATATGTAAATGAACATTCCTCCTGCAAAAGCAAATATGTAGTGACTTCCTTCAGCTAAATCACCTAGTAGTATCCCAAATACTAATCCTAAATAACATGTACATGCTGATATAAAGTTATACATTAAAGCTTGTCTCATAGTCATACCAGCACCCAATAAAACAGCAAAGTCGCCTGATACAAAGAAAATAAAAAAATAATTTAAATCATATTCTAAAAATTTACCATTTCTAAAGCAGTTATATTGAAGTTTGCATCAATGAGGGCTTGAATTATTTGTCCACTAATACCTAAAAAAGAATTTTTTTCTTTAAATATTTCATACAGTCATAACAATAATCAGTAAGAATCAATAGATAAATTATGTATTATAACATTTTTAAAGCCTATTTTTTTTCCTTATAACAATAAACAATAAACTGCCAAACTCCAAAACATAAAACAAAAATAAAAATTTAATATCAGAATTTTTATTACAATTTTTAAATACAATGACTTTCAATTATAAATTCAACTTTAAATGAAAATTTTACTTAATTAACAAAAGAAACAACTTTTCAAAACATTATCTATTATAAAATTTTACATATTTTTAAAATTACTAACTACTATAGAATTTAAAATGTAATCTTCTTAGTCCTTTGCCCTTTCAGAGGTCATGGTGATGATATGAATTGATGGCTTTAATTATATCCTTCCACTTTTCATGGTGTTGTGCTATCTGGATGGCCTCATGTGCTGTATGTCCTGTAATCACCATTACTTGGTCTGCCCANGATATTCAAAGTATGTCCCATATTCTATAAAATCTTTCCATGAATTCCATAACATATTGCTTATGATAAAATTGTTATAAAATTATTTTGACAATATAAAGCATTGTATTTTGAAAAATTTTTTGTTAAAATATGTCAAACAATTTTATATTGCAACAAGATTTTGTTTAGAAATAAAACTGAAAATATTGATTATGATTTTTAAAAGTTATCAGCACATTTTATGCTTAATTATCACTAATTGTGTATAGTTTTTCTCATTATAAAAATTATGGCTAGCAAAACTTTAGTTCAAACACCATTGATATAAAATAATAATAAATGTCATTTTAATACAAATAGACTGTTCTTTATTTTTAATTAAATATACCTAATTCATGTGGAAATTCTTCACAGAGAACAGCCACTGAAATACTAATTCCTGAGAGTATACTTTCTGAAAATGCTGCCCCAATAGATAATCCGTCAATAAAATTATGAAGCCCATCTCCAAATATAATCATCCAAGCAACTGTTCCAATAGCACTATCTTGACCTTGCACAAAAGTAATTTCATGATTATGATGATGCACACTGGAATGTACCTAGTAAAAATAAAATTTATTTATAAATTTACATACATAGGGCTTAATTTTAGAAAATATTAAAAATGCAATTTAATCAAGAGTTGATCAAAATAAAATTATTTTCAGTCATTAAAAAAAATTTGAATTACAGTATTTGTCAACAACATTAAAAACTTTTATAAATATAAAACTTTAGATCAACTTTTTCATCTCCTATTAATAGCACTTCATTCTTAGATTAAATCTAATGAATGTGCAATAAATTTAATAATGATACTAAGAAGATATTAAATTTATTAAATTTTTTCTTACTTGATCTGAGGATGAAGTTAATTGTTTCACTTGATCATCTGTCCATAAATCATTCTCAGATATTATTTCATTTAATGAGTTCTTCCCCTTAGTACAATTGGAATTGCTATCATTCAGAGAACTAATTATTCCATTCACTGTTGTAATATTTGTACAGACTACAGGTGAAGAATCTTTTCTTTCTTGTCTTGAATTTTTCTATTATTGATATGAAAAGAATAATTTTAACAATAGTATATTTAAAGCAAACTTAAATAATAAATGAAAGAATGATGTTATATATTCAAATTTGTCTTTGATTATAATATATATTTATTCAATAAGTTACATACCATCAATCACAAATTTATGTAAAACAACAAAGATCTACAAGAAACATTACTAAAAGAGGGGTGATTCTTTTTTTGTATAAACAGTATTTCTGGTGCTTTGGTATAATGAGTATTCATTCATGTTAAATGATTAAATTAACAAAATTGTTCATTCAAAACACCAATAAAGCAATATTTTAATATTTTTTATCAACAGAAAATTTAATAATTAACAATATACTGAATGTAATTTAAAATAAAGATGAGGTGTACTTAAAACTACATCTAATAAAATCTAATGATTATTTAATATACAGATATATCTTGAATCACAACCTTGACATATGACTATTTGAAGTTACAATGGTTATTAGTCATGGTAGCTATATTGGCAAATTCAATATTATATGCATATTCAGGGTTCATTGACAAGTTGTTCTAACTAACCAAAATTTTTTTGAACAACTTAATGTACTTCTGAAGTGGTCAGGCAGACAACTTCACTTATTTTCTCATATTTTAAAAATTTTTGGGTTTTGTGTATATGTTATCACATTAAATAGTAATACATACTCTTTTTAATAGAGGTAATAATAACAGTAAACCAACCTAATTTGTCCACAGAAAGGCTGATTCTTCCTCAGAGAGAGAGGACAAGGTCTCAGATATTTTAAATCTGAATTACACACAAATACAGACACTACAGGAGTTTTTCAACAAAAGGGAAGAACTATCACAATTATACAAATCAGCAACTCTTACATAAACTGCAGAATATGGCCACCATAAAATACAAGTATATGAGTAATAACTCTTACAGACAAAATCTGCACCAGAAGTCAATCCAGGTCAAGAGTAGAGGCAATTGTCCATTTTCTTCAAAGGCACCAGATGTGCCCTTTACACCCTTTATGTAATCATAAATAATGAGAGTTACTATACTTTCCTACCTCCTCATTATACAACTTACTTTGTAAAAGAAGAAATAGTGCATCACAAGACAAAATTTGAATACAAGATGCTGGTTTCGTTTACAGCTGAATCAAAAGGACAGAGCCATTTTTCATGAAATCAAAAAGAACCATAAAACCAGAGCCGTAACTAGGGTATAGCCAATATGACCCTCACCATAGGCACCAATTTAATAAAGGTGCCAACGAGAAGATTTTGAAATAATACGCATTCGAAGTTAAAAAACACGAAAAAAATTTTATTTATATTTATATAGTATTTAAATGTCATTAGATAATTTTTTTTACAATAGCATTTTTTTAGAATAAAATTATTATTTTTTAATAATAAAAATTAAAAAGGCGNCAATGCTGTTTTATATAAATTGTTTGTTTTCAAAGTATACAATAACAGTTTCATGTTTTAAGATATAAATTTACTGGTGATAATTACATTTATTATAACAGACAATATACTTTAAAAATGTGTGTGTGTGTGTGTATATGTAGACATATAATTTCATAAAAAGTAACCATTATAAAAATTACAGTAAAAAGTACTTGATCAATTCACATTTCTATGCGTCATTACATGCTGCAGCTGTATCAGTCATAAACTAGATATAGGTTATTAATGTTCTACATAGTATTGAATTTATTTCACCTATATTTGCTAGATAATTAAATACAAACAAAACCTTTTATCCAGCAACAGAACTTTAACTTCTGTTACTGGATAAAAAGTTTTGTTTGTATTTAATTACTCCATAATTTGTGAAGAACATAGTTATAATTTGCTAGATAACTGCTTCTAATACAAAATATTATTATTATTGTTATTTTGTATTAGAATATTAGAGAGATGATAATATTTTGTATTAGAAGCAATTCTACAAGAAACTTGGAGTCAACAACATTATTATTGTTACTATTATTACTAAAGTTATAAAATTTTAATTTTTAATAATATGGTTTAATTTTGTAAAATTAATAATAAATTTATGCCATCATACTTTCATATTCATTGCTCAAAAAAATATATATTTAAAAGCATATTAAATAATGTATATGTTACCAAATATAAATAAAATTTACATCAAAAAATATTAATTATAAAAATATAAAGTATATCTGAATAAATATATTATACTGTACCAGAGGCATGCGGTAACATTTGATGATAGGGAAGCTGTGCTGGGCCTGGATAGAATCATTGGAAGCGTTATATGATATTTTGGTGTGGTACAGGTGTGTTTATGTCGCTTGGAAGTTCTTCAAGTTTTGTGTTCTCTATTGTATATCTTCCTTATTGATGTTCAACATTTGTTTAAACTGTTTGTTACCNATATGAATTAAAAAAACTGAACGTTTTTTAATTCAATCATATGAACTTTGTTTTAATACTCATTCTTACAGATTATTAGTAATAAAATCTTGATTTTGCAATGTTTAGATAACAAATTGAAAAGATATCTTACAAAATAGGCAATAACTCAGTTCAAAAAATAAATAGACATGAAAAAAATTTATCATCATTTAGAATTCTATAGTAGTATTTGCATTTATGATTTCCAGGAAGAAGCTTCTACTAAACTTTTTTCTGCAAGTAATACTTTACCAAAGAAATGATGATAACTAATAATATTAATCAAATTAAAAAAGTTAACCTATTACACATATACAAGAATTAAAATATTTAAAAATTAAAGAAGATTAGCATTAATAAATTTTATAAATTTCATAATAACAACTTTACAATAAAAAAATAAAAATTTTCATGTTTATAGACCTTCTTGGAACTTCAGGAAATAAACTTTAAACTGTATCTAGATTGGCATTCAAGCCTTTCAATACAAACCATGACAGACTTCCAGTTTTCTTATGACTTTCCACCTTATTAAATCAAGTAACTATATGAGAAATTATACCTGTCAATTCTAAAACCATAAATAAATAATACTTGTGCAAATTCTGTTATATGTCACATTCACTTATTATAATAAATAAGGCTAGATAATTATATATATATGCTGCTTAGTTTTATAGAAAACTAAGCTTAATCAAATGAATAACTAATAGAATTCTATCATTTAATTATGTTGCTTAGTTCTTATAAGTAGAGACACATTAGAATTAATGAGTTATATTAAAATTTTAAAATTACATGTATTAAAATGTTTTAATGTGAGCAAAAACTGGATGTAACCAAACAAACTAAACTTTTAATTTTCTTTAACTTTTTAAAAAACTTAATCCATAAATATATATAAAACATTTAAACAAAGCCATATCAGAATCAGAAAAAAAGCAAACTTTAATACACTAAGTGTTTTCAAGATATGTTATTCCCAGTCTTAGATTGTTATAAATTCAAAACTTAACCAATCTAACACTTACTGGACATTTAAAGTTTTATGAATGTTGCAAATGCATTCTTCCAAATGAATGCACATTTTTGGCAAATTAAATCAGACATCCAATTCCTAGTATAAATAAGCAAAAAATGAAAATGTTTGCTCATTTTGAAAAGTACTTATACATTAAAGGTTTAGTTTCACGATTAAAATTTATATTCTTAATTTCACCTTTTATTAACTTTCAAAAACACTAAAACAAAACTTCAGAAGATTTTTAATAAATAGTAGTCCATTTAGTTTTCTTACAAATATATTAATTCTCACATTTCATATTGAATGTTTGAGAATTAAGTTTTTAATTTTTGATGATAATTATTGGCAAAATTTTATCACAAAGTTTAAAATAATTCTAAAACAATTAATTAAAATCACCATAAAATAACGCACAGCTATTTGTATAATAATTGAAACATACCTGAGGTATTAAGTGAAAAATTGCACTGCTAACCAAACTTCCAACTGCTAATCCTTCAAACACCATCAAAACTGTTTGGTAAGCATTTTTGTTTATGAGGGGAAGCAGCACTACACCTACTAATGAGCAGCAACTGATGATGGTAACAAATAAAATACCAAATCCCCATACTGAAAATAAAGAAATCTATATACATAAATATATTGCTTAACACAAATTTTAGTATGCTTTTAATTGGTGCTACTTTATTTTGTAAACCATAAATGATGCAACTTGTACATGACTGATGCACACACAATGGAACAGAATGGCAAATGTTTCATGAATGCTTAAAAGAAATCAATCAATTTTGATTTAATTTAATCCTAAAGTCCAGCAAAACTTCTTTACTCATGTGAATGTTTTCATCCACATTCCATTAAATATCATCAGGCTATAAAAATGGAAAATGGAACTGCAATGTTCAAAAATTTGAATGCAGTGAGTTGTCATTCATTTATTGGTGGAGATGTTTCTGATCTGGGTGGTCGCTGATTGGAGGAGACACTTTCCATATGAACCTATGGTTTATGGGTGGTAAAGGAAAAATTCCATGGGTTGGGGAATGTGTGATCATCCTTAAAGTTGATTGCCTTCTTATTCAATGCTGCCTTGTATATTTCAAGCAGCTCAAGGTAGCACAGTTATCTCCTGTCAGACAGTCAATGGAGGATGCTGGTCTTATCAAAATGGACCTCCACACTCAGGTCAAAAGTATAAGTTAACAATACAGTAGAACACCAACTGCTGAAAATGTCTGTTTGGTGTTCTTTTATGATGTGGTAAGGGATCTGTCTTCCAGTAGCTCCAATGAATGACAACTTGACACATTAGAATTTTCAAGCATTGCGGCTTCATTTTCCATTTTTACAGCCTGATGATGTCCAATGAAATGTAAACAAAAACATTGCATGAGTTAAGAAACTTTGCTGGACTTTAGATTATGAAGTAAATTAAATTGAATATAATATATCAAGCATTTATCTGTCATGTTTTATATATATATAAGTTTTATAAGAGTACTAAATAGTTTTCTTTTCAATGAGAAAACTTTTCTATCATCATATAACTGTATAGAAATTTCAGTTGAAAATGATTTGAAAGAGTTATTTTACACTTCTTAAATATTTAAATACAATCAAATCTCTGAACAATGGCCACTGACAAGAAACATGAAAATTAGAAATGACCTATGTTGACAGGAAAGCTGAAATTACATAGATCATTTAAGTAAAAAAAAAAAACATTGAAGTGTTCAAAGTATGAGGTACCACTGTAAAGTTCAGACACAAAATTGAAAAAAATTTGCCTTGGAGTTTGAATGAAACTTCAAAGTTCAAATTGCACATGTAGTGAAAAAATGAACTCAAAGTGTCAAGACAATCTGTCATATGTCCAAGCCATCTCTCACTCTCATGTTACTCTTGTATGTTTTCAGTGCTTTTTTTCACTTTATTTTTGAAGTGATTGGTTATATATACTGTGAATTGTGTATTATTTGTCAATTTTTAACAATTTCTTTCTGCAATTTTTCTTCATCAACAGCTTTTGGGTGCATCATATGTTTTGTATCTCTTAGTTCAAAATCTCTCAAACAGAACTTTTTAAAACTGCATTTGACATGTTCAAAGTTTAGGAGAATCTTCCCCCATACACAATCACAATTATTTTTACTGTTTGTACTCTTTTCCAAAACTCATAAAGCATAATATGACTGATATGCTTTTTATCTGAAGACATTTTACTTGATTTTATTTAAACAAAATCTGAAGTGGAGTTTATGATATGTTAATAAATGAAGAATAAAATCACATTATATAATAAATAATATGCTAAATTTTACAAGTGTTATAATTAAATCTGGCATCTTAACATGATGCCAGAGTAGACAGTGTGGGACCAGTAAATGCAATTTTCATTTTATTGCACAGTATTTACATATTTTATTTAAGGTTTTCATGCTTAAATTTATTATTAGGGTATTTAATTGTGTTATGTTTATATTAAATAATGTCTATTGATGTTTTAAGTTTATCAAAATGGATATTGTTCAGGGTCTGGAAATGGATTAATTCACTTTTAATTATTTCTATGGGAAAAATTGATTCGGTCTTTGAATGATTTAGAGTTTGAATAACCTCCTGAAATGAATTAAATTCAAAGTACAGGGCAAGCAAACCACTACTTTTTAAGCATTTGTACAAAAATTTTGTAATTTTATACGTAATCCTTCTCTAAAGCATAATGATCTTTTAGGAGTTCTTTGCACATGTATTTTTACATACATTTGATTGATCTTTTACTGTAGGCTACAAAATATGTTAAAATATGTGAAAAACAAACATTGTCCTCTGCTGGTGACAACTGAAAAAAATTCTTCAAATTCTTCTTAAACACCTAAAAACAGTCCTTGGTATTGAAATTTTTTAATCATCATTATGGACAGCGATGATAGACCATGACAGACTTCCAGTTTTCCTAAGACTTTCCACCTTATTGAATCAACACTGTTCTTTCTTTATGTAGTTTAAATTTAAGTCAAAGCCTATAATAAAAAATTGCTCTACATTGTGTTTCTAGAAGTCCTATGCATATTAAAGAACTTTCATAGAAATTTTTTTTATGATTGTCTATAATGTTCCATGTAGTTACCTTGATGTTTATCAAGAAAAATTAGTTTTTTTGTTTACAGCCAAGTTTATTTAATCATATAAAAAACCAATAGCCAAATTACTCATCTTATGAATAATAATTACATTTATACAGCACATTACTATTTTCTTGCACCATTTTGAAGGCAGTGCCCACCAGTAAAAGAAGCTTGGAGATGATAAAATAATAAAAAAATTTTATTTTTATATTTAAAGAAATAAAATTTATTATCACAATACCTTTCGAATACTTATGATAATTTTCATAAAACGATCACTTAGGAAAAAGATATATATTCCAACAAATATAATTAATGCTTTCCATAAATATCCATGTTCAACATCTTCACCTAATAAATTAAATGCCTAAAAAAATTATAATTTATTAATAAATTTTATTTTAAAAAAATCATCATGTAAACAACATTAATAAATTATCTAAAAATTAAATTTTAAAAAAATATAAACTTTTAAATAATTTTGGCAAGTTTTCCTATTTAATAATCTGAAAATAAATAAAAATTTCTAAACTTTGAATTTAGGGCAGGGGTGTCCAACCTTTCTGTTTCTCTGGGCCACATTGGAAGAAGTCATGGAGTTTTGGGCCACAAGTATATTTTGACCCGATCCTTAAATATACAAGTATATTTAAGTATTGTATTAACATGTCTAAATTATAGTAATAAGTATTAAAAGTTTACCACAAAAAAGAATATTTTTAAAAATTGCTTTTACAGACACTTTCAATTTTTATTTAGAAATAAATAAATTCATTTATTATAAAGGAGACAAACAAAAATTTATTTGAAAAACACAAATATTTGTTTTATTTGGGTCTCTAATTAATAAAAAGCGACAAGACAACATTTTAAAGTGCATTTTTATTCAACTAATATATTTATAAATAATATGTAGCCCAAAAAGTAGCCAATGTGCCAACTGATATTTTTTACATCAAACTAATAAAAGGGTAGCCAAATTTGGCGCAAAGTAGCCGAATCTTGCAACGCTGGAAGGAATACTATATAAAGCTGGAGTTGAGACTCAAAGAATTATAGACTCAATGCGGGGAAAGGAGAAAGAGGACAAAAGAT